CATCCATTATATAGAACGTATCGTGAATGAACAAAAATGATGAGGGATATTTGAACTGCAAAAACACACTGTTTTTTATTGATAAAGGTAATGCAGCACTATAGCGGTTATGAAGCAAAAGCTCAGTACTGTAAATGAAATGCCAGAAATGTTTGTCGGAGTACTAACTAATAAAACTTCGCTGTTCGCAATATATGGTGGTTAGCTGGCTGTACTGATCGAGTTACGACGAAACATAAACCTTCTTTTCCTAGAGTTGCTTAAAAGTAAGCTAATGACTGAACTGACTCCATGGAATATGCCAATACATAACAAATGCATATGTTTTCTAATAATTCATGTGTCTCTTTTTTTCAAAAAAAAAAATAAAAAATTACCATATTGAAATCTTGAATTTTCGGCGCCTGTCCTTCTTCCACAGCCGTTCCAAAATCGGCTGAGCACCGAAATAAACTATGGAGCTCCAGCAACGATGTTTCACCGCGTAACAAAAATCGCCAATATGAACGCAACTGTACAAGAGGTTTTTCAAAATCGATGTTAAACTCGCTTTGTGAAAAATCCAACTTTGGAAATCCAACTGGATTTTCAATATCTTCTGTCCCAGTACTTCTCTTCATGTGTCCCCCCTTCCCTTCTCCTCGCAATCTCTACGAAAAAAAGCCGCTAAAAGTTAATTTCATAAAAGTTTTCGAAAAATATCTACATTTCTTCCAAACCATTCGTTTTGTTTTCGCATTTTCAGCAACCCCGAGTAAGTGGCTTCCGGGAGACTGCTCTTGGCAGAATATTACTATCTAGGTCAAACTCGCGCGTCTTGCTTCTCCCGAGGAACAGTAGAAGAACCTGAGTTTTGATTTTTATCTCTTTCGTACCATCTATGCAAGAAATGCCAAAATGCCATTAGTTTTTTGAATTTTTCTTCAAATCTTAATACTGCTGCCAGACAACTGTTTTTTCAAACAATTTCAATTTTTCAAAACAATGAAACTGAGTGTCTGCGCAATTTCATTCACGATTAGTGCTTTTTCAACTTTTGCCACTCCTTGCAGGTTCATAAGTTTCCCGATGTTGCTTCTTATATTAAAATAAATGACAACGCACACCAGATGCGATCATGCGTTTTGTGCAACTCAGCCCATCGAACGATTGCTTATTAATGATTTTCACTGCTTGTTCAAACATTGGAAAACAGTTAAAAATTTCATGCACCAGCGTATGAAAGCTGGATTCGAAACCTTGAAGGATGAATATCTTTCCGTGATTCCCAAGTTAAAAGTTTACCCGCCAAAATTTTCACGACGCCGTAGGTGGTGCCCGAGAGTGCGAGAACGCTGAATTTGAATGGGCAATGTTGAGCGTGGGAGGGGGGTCATTACCCTAAAACTTCAACCTCCTAGACTCCGTGATTCTCGAGATATTAACTTACCCGTGAAAAATTTTCACGGGGCCGTACGTGTTACCCGCGGGTAAGGGAAGGCTGAATTTGAATGGGCAAGGTTGAGCGTGAGCAGGGGGTCATTGTCCTAAAACTTCAGCCTCCCAGACTCCGTGGTTCCCGAGATATTACCTTACCCGTAAAAAACTTTCATTGGGCCGTACGCGTTACCCGCGGGTACGGGGAAGCTGAATTTAAATCTGCGGGGTCACACGTGGGTGAGGAACGTTCGGCCGTACACGTTACCCGTGGGTACGGGGAAGCTGAATTTAAATTTGTGGGGTCACACGTGGGTGGGAAACGTTACCCTATTCAGCGCTTCCTAGCTTTTGCGGTTCCCGAGTTGAAAGTTGCGGACAAGTTGCTGCGGACACACACACACATACACAGACAACCCCGTGACAATATGCGTTTTGTACTGTTGTTACACAGCACAAAACGAATAAAAAGGATTTGTATCGCACTGAGAAAAATCCAATAATAACTCA